TTGGAACAAAGAGACTTCCTTATCCAAGCCGTTCATTTGAGTTTGCTCATTGTTCTCGTTGTAGGATTGATTGGTTGCAAAGGGATGGAATTCTTCTTCTCGAGTTAGACAGAGTTCTTAGACCAGGAGGCTATTTTGCCTACTCCTCTCCAGAGGCATACGCACAGGATGAAGATGATCTTAGAATATGGAGACAAATGAGTGCACTTGTAGAACGCATGTGTTGGAAGATAGCTGCCAAGAGGAACCAAACTGTCATTTGGGTTAAGCCTCTAAATAATGACTGTTACCAGGAAAGAGAACCAAACACCAGGCCACCTCTATGTCGCCCTGATGATGATCCTGATGCAGTGTGGGGGGTTCCAATGGAGGCATGCATAACACCTTATTCTGATCGTAAGTATATATTCTTATGTCTGCATTTGACATTGTTGTGAAGAATGATCTTCTTTTGCATCTAATAAAGAAATCTGTTATTAAAATTTATAAGCTTGAGAATCCCTTTAGCTAGATGGAAAGAGCTATTCAGTTGATCACCTGTATCTTATTCTTGTAGTGATTAAACTTAAAAGTGGTTTCCTCTTTGACTTGTTTTTTTGTTCACTATTCATTCTTATTATAACTGGATCAGACTATGCAATATCATGAAAAAGCTGGCTATATGTTATATTAGACTCATAGACAAGATTTGAAATATTTAGAAACCAGACCTTTAAGAGGACACATCTCCATACAGACCAGACCATTATAATCATACAAGATTTACAAAAAAAAAAATGAGATCAGATCTCTTCTGACAAAGAGAACATGGCATAAAAAGAGAATGAGGCCTCGGCACATTTGTCCCATTTTTACTCATTTGTTTGATTGCATCCATATTGATTGATCGTTGATTCCTTGATGGCATTTCCATTTTTTTACCAACTCATGGAGTCATGGTCAAGCCTCCCCCCTCCCCCTGTTTTTTTCTGTTTAGCTTGTTGGTGTGCATTTTGCCATTTTCTCCAATGTCTTTTCTTAGAGACCTATATGTCATATAAGTCATTGCCATCATCATCATCATCATCACTCTAGTGCCGCAAAGGCTCCCACCTACGGTGGGGTAAGGGGGAGGGTTGGGTGTACGCAGCCTTACCCCTGTACTAAAGCACAAAGAGACTGTTTCCAGATGATCCGTGGTGAAAATCGCGTCGAAAATTGCATGGACTGACTGTTGCTTCATAACAAAGAAGCGCAGACAGTTTAATGAGCCATTTTGCTTTATTTCATCATATTCTCAAGTCAAAAGTAGTGAATCTTTGGCTCCATTGCAAATGATGGAAATACCTATATGTAATATAAGTGAAATGAGATATACATATTTTAATTGTTTATTTTCCGTTTTTACACCAGATGACCACAAAACCAAGGGAAGTGGATTGGCACCTTGGCCAGCTCGATTAACCACACCTCCTCCCCGGCTTGCTGATTTTGGGTATTCAAACGCAATGTTTGAAAAGGATACGGTAATATTCTTACCTATAACAGTGTAATGCTGACTGACTGCTCATAGACATTTCCAATTACTAGAATGAAAATTGAGTTGTGGCCTTCTTCGAAACAGAAACTTTGGCAGCGGAGAGTTGATGGTTACTTGAGGATTCTGAGTCCCAGAATTTCATCAGACACTGTTAGGAATATTATGGACATGAAGGCAAACATGGGTTCGTTTGCAGCTGCTCTCAAGGACAAGGATGTATGGGTAATGAATGTTGTTTCTGAAGATGGACCCAACACACTCAAGATTGTATATGATCGAGGCCTCATTGGCACAATCCACAACTGGTAATATGGTGATAAAAGTATTTTTTATAATCATTTTCCCTTTCATATTTCTAAGACTAACAATTTTGCTGTTTGGGTTTTGCACTTTTGCCTTTTGGTTTTGATGGCTAACTAAATCTTGGCTAAAGTTTTGATTGGTGAACGGCTCATTGTGGAGAGTCTAGCATTTCCGGTCCAAATTATAGCTAATTTTAGTGCTTGTTATAGAACCTGTAAGAGGAGTAGTGGAGTACAAAGAACAGTTTTGCAAGAGAGCTTTTTGGAATAACGGATTGAATAGTTATTATTAAGTAAAAGTAGAGAGAAAAGTGGCTCTCTAATCTCTATCTCTTCTATTAAATCTATTTTTTGAAATAAAAAGATAAAAAATGATTAATAGCAGTTACTATATGGAGTCTTGAATACGACAATTTAAAAGACAAATACTTCTTTGTAAATTTAAAAATATTTGAAAGGAAATTTGATTCTAATCGTTTGTTGAAATATAGTAATGTGAAATACTCTGTAGTATATTATACCTGAGGAAGAAAATAGCGACACAAACAAATAATAATACTATAATAATAAACAAAACTATATCTTTATTATTATGTATCATTTGACACATTCTAATAACTAATCACTACCCCTACTAAAGCTCTCTTCCGTAAAACGTAACTGCATAAAAACCGCTAACATGAACCGGTAAAAACTATTCTAAACAGCTAATTGCTGCCAAACCAGGCCTAGACATGTCCTCATTAATATTCAACAAGGTTAAGATTTGTTGTTCATTGTCCCTTTGTCATGCTTGCAGGTGCGAAGCCTTTTCAACATATCCTAGGACGTATGATTTGCTGCATGCATGGACCATAATTTCTGACGTTGAGAAGAAAGGTTGTAGCAGTGAGGATCTGTTGCTTGAGATGGATCGTATCTTAAGGCCTACCGGCTTTATTATCATCCGGGATAAACAGCATGTGATTGACTTTGTAAAGAGGTATATGCAAGCATTGCATTGGGAAGCTGTTGGAACTGGCGGTGATTCAACATCAGACCAGGATCAGGAGGGAGATGATGCTGTAGTGTTTGTCATTCAAAAGAAGCTATGGCTTACTAGTGAAAGCATTAGAACTACAGATTAGTAGAAACATAAATACTTCTCAAGTCCTTCCCCAAGTACACCCTTTCACTATTTCAAATCCTTCACTCCGCTCCTTGCTAAAAAAAAGCATCATATAGAGTGATATAGGCAACCTTTTACTATTTCAAAGTAAGCGTGTTAACATGATATATTTTTAAGTACAAGACTACAAGGGATGGAGTAAAGCAGAGTGCCTGAACACCATGAGATATCAGCTGCACTTTGCTCCCAACGTTGCTTATTTCTTCACTCGTTTTTATCACTAGGTTGTATTTTGCTACATGTTTTAGTTTTGTGCTTTACTTGAAGTTATACGGACAAGTTGATTTTCTTCATTAATGATTTGTGTTAGTTGGATGGGGGCCGGTTCTGGTGTTCTCAAAATAGAACCTTAACTGGAACCAGTACTTTTGGGTCCATTTCTGGGTAGTTCCAGATTGGAAAAACTGAGTTAAAAAAAAAAAACAGAGCCGGGACTTGAACTTATCTGGTCATTTCATCGGTGTAGTTCTGTAGGACAACTGATTTTATTTATAAATCCTGGTCGTAAATTGTGGTGACGACTGAGGGTTGTATGGGGAGACACCATAGAAGTGTATATCAGGATCTTGAGTATGGTTAACTCAACAACAATAAGTAATCACTACTATAATAGGAGTATTATTATATATAATGATGAATAATAAATTGAGAATTTGTGTAGATAGACTGATAGAGTGATAGATGAGTATTATATATGTGGAGTAGTAGAGAGTTTTAAGTATTGGAAACTGATTGGTACTTGTAGAGAGTGAAATGATTGGTACTTGTAATTTTTTTCGCTCCTCGTCATGACCCTAAAGGTTATAGGGCTGTTTAGATCTGCTTCTTCAAATTGTTTCTACTCTTTCAAAGAGCAAAAACATATATTGAAGTGTTTGGGTGGTAGTGTAAAGTATTTTTGAGTGCTTAAAGTTACTCCTAGAAGCACTTTTCTAGAAGTTGGACTGTTGGAGTAGACCACCTACTTGACTACTTATGATTCTAATTTTGCTTTTAAAGCACACGCACAATCAGTTTCTCAGTCTCCCTATATAAATGTTGACTGTTGGAAGTGCTAGCAGCTGCCCAATGAAGCCAGAATGGATCCCCAAAAGTCGATGGGAAATTCTATTCACAGTCCCTTATTTACTAATCAAATATGACCCTGGTTGATGTTTAAAGTTTCCAGAGCAGACAAAGAAGTTAAAAACCCTATATCAGTTTCTTTGGCCACACGGCAAGTTGAAAGAGTCTTATACACGCGTAGACAATCAAGTTGAACTATGATGAGGATTATCAGACCAATAGAACAATAGCTCCGACATCAAGCGAGCACACCTCCATCCTTCTCACGACAGGCTTACTCCGGACAGTGCCGATGGAAAGTGGCGCCATATTCATTGCTATCGTATCTGGTTTTGATTCCATTACAAAAATCGAATATCAAGTAATCAAACTGCTAGAATACATATACACCGATCGAATAACAATCAAGAAATTATAAATGATGATGTTGATTGTGAGTAATGGGGAATTGGGTCGTTGAGAAGATGAAATATGGGAAAGAGTAGGAACGAAGGAAATCGGCGATGATGATAAAGCTTAAAGCAGACCGATGTGTTGGATTAAGCTGTGCGTTACTAGCTAGTAGATGGATTTTAAGGGTGGAACGGATATTTCATTATTCTCGTGGCTGCAATTAGTAATTTTGTAAGTGTGAATAGAATCCCCCAAAGTCGATTACCAGGACATTACCCGTGACCCAACTTGAATCTGTCCCGGTCTAGGACTCGTAGAAGTGTAGAACAGGTTGGTTTTTGGGTGAAGAACCACCCAGTTCTGAAGCCAAAACTGGGTCCTCTCCATCATCAAAGCAACATAGAATGGTAGTAATATACCCTTTTTAAAATGTTGTTGAAATAGTTTTCCTTGCGGATTATTAAAATATAAACAATGCACTTCATTTAGCACCTTTGTGCAGAATTGCTACAGATTTACTTTATTTACGGGCTCCAACGAGGTCATTAACATGGATCAGAATGCTTTTTAATTCGTATTATTATAGCAATAATGAGATGCTGAATTTGAACTGATGAAAGCTGATTATAAAATCCAATGCAGGAAGAAGTAAAGTATGTTTACCAATGGAACACAATCATCAAGCATAAGAGTTTAGTTTTGACAAGCAAGGGGCTAGTCAAAAAAATATGCTTACCAAGTTCCTCTCTGTGAGTAAGAACTACAGACATAGACACAAATGAATATTGTTAAAAGAATCACTTTAACCTTAATCTTTTTTTTTAACTTATTTAACATGTCCAGGAAGATGATCTCTTCATTACAGGCTTCATTTGCTTGTCCTCTTCCAAGGATATCATCCCCAAATGTGAAGGATCTTCTAGCATCATCTTCGCCACCAGATACCCAGCGATTGACCACGTCTGCTGCTTCCTGGCCTGTTTGCCGACAAATCTTCCAACCTTTCCATCATAATATTCGGGCCACCCATCCTTCAGCAAGCGGCTCTCTGCTAGATCAATTGCCCTTTTCGCAATTTGTGGCCGTCCAGTCTTGATGCACGCCGCAGTCAACATCCACAACAGCACTGCACATTTTCATTTTAATTGGTCATAAACTGAACCAATTCTTGTTTAAGAAGTTTGTTGAGAAGTAATCATTTTTTTTATTATTTGGATGTACCAAAGAATTGGATTTTCATGTTAATTGGTCATAAACTGAACCAATTCTTGTTTAAGAAGTTTGTTGAGAAGTAATTAATTTTTTTTATTATTTGGATGTACAAAAGAATTGGCTTTTACAAGTGCAAAAATAAGTGAAAAAACAACTTCTGTTGTTGAAAAATCAGCACATCATTATTATTATATCAATAAAGTAATTTTCAGATACATGAAAATAGTTCTTTTTTGTTTAAATAAGCTGATTGTGATTTAAACACATGTTTTGAAAATAACTTGCACGGCTTTGTTTGGCATAACAAGCTGATGAATGACAAGTTGATGTGTTCAATAGTACTCAAAATTATAGCTTATAAGGTTAAACTGATAACTCAGTTTATATCATAATATAAAGACAGTTTATAATCTAGTTTCTAAGAGGTCTCAAACATGCTCTAAACGGGTTTTTTGGTGATGTTTCCCGTTTTTATGTTTCTATAAATTGTAGATATTGTTTCCCAAAGTTTTTAGAATATCAAACATTGACGATGAGTCTGTATCGTACGGAGTACATATGATTTTGGTGTAAAATTTGTTTTTAGTATTTGGATAAAAAATTTGGTCTTAAAACTAAATATGTAAATTTTAAAAATTAACTAAATCAAATATTGTACGGGACAAATTGATGTTTCATCAGTAAGCCCTTGTAATATTGACAAAGTTTCTGGGACAGAGATGAATCTACTGTGGAGTATGAAAGTGTTTTCTTTTTAATAATAAAATCATAAATACGCCAAATTATGGTGGGAAACATGATTCTACAAGCAAAAACAATGAAAATAATGAATTCACACGTCCCATAATTTTCAGAATTGTATTTTCTTTTGAGAAACTGAAAACAACAAAAAACTTTTGTCAAAGACATTTTCTTATTTTTGTTTCCAGAAAAAGTGAAAACTTGTAAAACATATCTTTCCATTGCACACAGTCATATGCTTGAACTAGCCCAGAAAAATATGAGACCACAGAAGAATTAGCAAGGAAAAAAGATAGAAGGATAACCTGGCCAAGATCCTCCATTATGGTAACTCCATCTAGTGTTTTTCGGATCACAACCAGTCACTATCCTCCACTCATGATTTTCAAGCGCAGGATAAGATATTTTTAAAGGCATTTCCCCAACAAGCTCCTCCCAGCGTGCTTCAATGAGATCCATGATCGCAGTGGCTTGCTCTGGAGTGGCGAGAGATGCCAAGATCGCAACACAATTCCCCAATGCAAACCATCTAAAGTCCATCCTTGCTGGACTGACATTTCCAATAAAGTAACCGCCTCGTGTGGGCATGAAATCAAACACCCAATCCGGGATCGAATCCGGAATAACATTGAACTTGTTGACTGCTGTATGAGAATATTCTTCAGTTTTAAAACGGTATATGTCATTGAGTTGTTGGAAGTCAAGCCAGAAATAACTTCTCATGTGGTAACTCAAGGCATGTAGACGCTTTACTATCCTCTCAATACATTCTTCTCCTTCTCCATCATGCTTTAACATCGTCAAAGCACATCTCAATGCCATGAAAAAGAGTGCTTGGATTTCAATAGGATAACCATAAACTCCCTGATAACCACAATAGGAACACATTAAGGTTCCATTTGGAACACATTAATGAATGTGGTGGACACAAACTAGATTTGTTACAAATATAAAAGTATATAAGTAATATAACTGAATTGGATAAAGTTAACAGTTCAGCTTAGATTTGTGAATTTGTGAAAGTTCAGCCTAGAAATATATAATGAGCCTTTTAATTATACAATTCAATTTTATAGAGTAAGAGATCAAAATATATATAATCATAAAAAAGATAATCAAATTTTACTTTCCCTTCCACTCATCAAGGTAAAACCAAACATAGCCTAATGTTTGCTCCACGGGTGGGTGTATCATAACCTAACCAATTCAGCATTCTACCTAGAACAACTGTAAGAGCGTGTGACAATGCAATGTAACTAAAAGACAAATGTACCATTCTTCTATCAATCATCGAACATCCATCAGCACATAGCAAGGTGGGAAAGGTATCAAATCCTTCTGACAAGCAGAGAGTGAGTATAAGTCTCATCCCCTTTTGGCACTCCGGTCTTTCAGCAAGAGAGGTATCTCCCGTAGATTTTGTATAGGCACGGAGAAGAATGATCCACCAAAATCCAGAGTCAACTGGAGCCACTCTTCCAATTGCGCTCTCACCAAAGTCTGCTATGACTGTATCTATCTTACGAATCGGATCATGAAGAACTTTGAAACTGGCTGGCATAACTCCTTCACCCAGCTTGAATCTGTCCACTTTCTTTTCCCAACCTTGAAGCAGAAGTGTTTTCAGCAAGAAATTCTTAACTATTTCAGGCTCACCATTCATGAGGAAGGCAAGTGCACTAGGTACAAAATCACGAACAAAAACCTGCACACCACCCATTCACTATTTTTAACTGTTACAAGGCAAAATCCCTAAACGTCCAATATTTGTTAGAATTTCATGAGCAAAATTAAAGAGAGAAGAATAGGCTCATAAGACTTTATGTTGAACTAGCTAACAGATTAGATTCATTTTTAGTGTGATTTTGCCCTAGTGCTTATAGTCCAAATCAGTAACCTCAACACAATGCTGAATTCTATCATGGTACCAGAGCAGTTTTTGGCTCACTTTGGTTGTTCAGTTGTTCATCTGGAGAATCATCCCCGTGGCCCGTGACTGCTCATGAGTCTTTAGCTGGAGGCTCACCATTCTTTAAAATTTCCTATTGTAAATTAAAGATAGGACAGTTTTGGGTTGAAGTGCCAACCGATTGAATTCTATCATGGTACCAGAGCAGTTTTTGGCTCACTTTGTTTGTTCAGTTGTTCATCTGGAGAATCATCCCCGTGGCCCGTGACTGCTCATGAGTCTTTAGCTGGAGGCTCACCATTCTTTAAAATTTCCTATTGTAAATTAAAGATAGGACAGTTTTGGGTTGAAGTGCCAACCGATTGGATTCAATATTTTAGTATGGTTTGCTCCAATTGAGTAACACCCACCCAAACTTGAGCTCTACCAATCAGATGCATAATGAGTGAGGAACTAATAGTGCCTTTAAATTAATGGGGCATTTCAAAATGGGTTTCCAGCATTCTGTCTAAAAGTAACACTTTTGCAAGGTACTTTTGCCCGCATTAAACGAGTCATTTCCCACCCCATAAAACATAAAAAGAGACCTGTTTCAAAACCTATTTTGGCACCAAGGAATACAAAATTTGAAATAGAAAAATATCAAATTATTTAAGAGCTAATTGACTAACAAATAAAACAGACCTGATCATAATTTAGGACTTCTTCTTCACCATGCTCATTGGCAGCGATTGTACCAACTGGTTGGCCTCTAAAATAAACCAAAGATCGGCGTAGAGAATCCCATGCCTCGGAAACCATTGGATGGGGCTCAAATGAGTTTCGGGTGGATGAAACAGGGGTGTCCAAGCCTGACCTACTGGGGGAATAAGACATTTCATAGTTATCTAAACCTCTAGCAAGGCCAATGGACATTTCACTCAGTGATCTCTCATCAAAGGATCTCTGCCTGTCTATGTTCAGCCTTGGCTTGTCAAGAAGCTTTGAGAGATCAAAGTCATCCATCTCTGAGATGGAGCAGTGGGAGCTTACATTCTTCAGTCCAAACTCTTTAGTAATGTGACCATCCATATTCATCTGAGAGAGCTTGTGCAATGCTTACGGATAATCTGATATTATTGCAAAAACATTATCCCCTAGGAGTATAATTTTTATACAATAAACAGAAACTCAAATCAAAATCCTATGGTTCATTATTTTATATTTAGCCGAGGTGGGAAATACTTAAGCATGAACATTAACACTACAACAACAACAACATCCAAGCATGAACATTAACACTACGAGAGGAAAAACATACGGCTATACACAACAATGAACAGAAGTGCTAAACATGTTTAGTCAAACTCCCTAGCATGAAATATAAGGGTATCATAAGTTGACCAAATAGTTAGAACCGAATCATCCAAATCGACTAGTAATGCATAGATAAAACTAATAGAGATAGCTGAAATCATTAAGTACTAATAAAAATAGTAATAAAGGGAAAGAAACAGTGGACAGTGTCTTTGATGAGCAAAGATTCTATCTTTATGATCTAATCCAAACATGGTTTTAACAATAAAAATAAATAGTAATACATAGAAATTATTAGTGGATGAATTATAAGGATAGTGTCCAGTTAACAAGGAAAGCTTCAATCTTTGTGGCCTAATCCGAGGATAAACAGAAATTAGTAATTATTAAACTGCCATAATTATACTCTGTAATATATACCCATATTTACAAAATAATTTACCATCCACAATACAAGTAATTGACCGATTATTTTGACAGGATTATTGGGTCAGCTGAAGGTTATGAAGAAGGTGATGCAAATAAAATAAGAAATTGGAACACAACATTTACAAAACTTGAGAATAAAAAAAGTTTTCATCTTTAAAGCATGGAAGTTCAAGGATGAATGGAGAAACTCTTTGACAAGGAAAGATTCAATCTTTATGACTTAATCCATATATGGGTTTAACAATAAAACAAGTAGTACGGAGATAACATCAGTTGAGAACTCATAAGGATGACAACCACTAAAAGGAAAGGAAAGTTTCCATCTTTGTGGTGTAATCCGAAGATAAACAGAAATCACTTAACTACCATAATTAGAAAACCAATCATCATCCGTGATATAAGTAAATGAGAATGCTTTTGACATGATTATTGGATCAAGTAAGACTTACGAAGAAGGTGATGCAAATAAAATCTAAAAATGGACTACAAACCATACAAAATCCGAAAATAAAAAAGTTTCCATCTTTGAAGCTTCGAAGTTCAAAATAAGCTGCACAAGAATTCAACTTTAAAGAATGCAAATCAGAAGGATAAGACTACAAGATCCGATTGCATTAAATAAAGAGTGAGGAAAAAGGAAGGTCATAAATAAGCACACCTTCTCACCCAAAAATAAAAGATTCAAGAACAAACAATTTCTGAAAATCTTATCTCCCCATATGAACTGCCTAAATCAGATCTATATCAATACTGAGCAAACCCAATAAAAAAAGAGCGACCTTGGCGGGTAGTAAGCTGAGATAGGAGATGAGAAAAGACTTGCCTGCAACAATGGCGGTCGGAGAGCCGGCAAGATCGCCGGGAGAAAGAAAGGGCGAGTTTCTTAGGAAGAATGGAGGAAGAAGAGAAAAGGGAAACATGATTCCGGGGTGTTTTATTTATAGAGAAAGAACGTGTATGTGCGTTCCTTGTTCTTGCGCAGTACAGAGTAGCAAAGGGAGATGTCAAAGGAGGGGGCAAAGTAGGTAGGTAGCTGCCAGCGGTTGTTGGCGCGGGTAGGTGTACTGATTAGGGATTGATTGATCAACGACAGCTCTATAAACAATTTGCTCTCGGATCTTAAGCCCGTTTTGGTATGAATGAATCATTGATTAATGAATACTAACTGATGTATTACGTACGCAGTACAAATGTTTTTGTAATTCATTTACAAGTCCGAAGATTCGTAGTTTGTTACCCTATATGGACTTGGATATTCATTTTTAAACAATTTCCCATCAATTTCGATTTAGTTGAATTGAATACTCACTCAATATTTAAATGCTCAATACATTTTCCTTTTTAAGATATACTCTCTCCGTATCTTTAAAATCTTCCCATTTCAAAAGTAGGTAGATTAAGAATAGTGAAAGATGATATGAATTATTGAGGGTATGATGGGAAAATAGTGGAATAATGTAGTGGAATGTAGGATAAATCCAAAAAAAGTAGTTGTAATAGTGTATTATTTTAAGAATTATTGAGGGTATGATGGGAAGATTTAGAAATGAGAAGATTTTTGTGTTACGGACGAAAAAGGAAAGTGAGAAGATTTTTAAGTTACGGAGGGAGTAGTATGGAATAGTATTTTAGTTTTTGTTACATTACTTCTTTAGATAATGTGATGGATTATATGGACTCCGACCCCCGGTATGCCGACTACTAGGCCTGGACAACGGCCCATACACGTTTAGCAGATATCATTAATATTATTGTACATTATTATTATTATTATTCAGATGTTCTAGATTAGCTTTTTATACTATCAGTTCATTTATGTAATCGGGTCTGTCAGACCCATATTAGAGGCTCAAACCCGGATTTTCCCTATATATACTCCTTATAGGAGGCTTGTAACTTATATAACCAATACTCATTCTATACACATTTTCTTCTTCTTCTCCATTACTCCTTTTGATTCTTGTTCAATTTCTCTTGTTCATACAATATGGGTATCGATTATCCAACAATGGTGCTCTTGTTGAGAGGTTGAACACAATCAAGTGAGAAAACCTCCCCAAAATACAAAAAATCATCCAAATTACCCAAAAATCATTCCAATCACAGAAAATAGGAAAAAACAGTCGGCCAAGAAAAATCCATGGAAGAAAAGAAATCTTAAGAAATCTGGAAATCCTAGGATTTGTGCCATCGTCTGCCGTCCACCGTCAACACCACCACTGTGCACCAGGCTCCTGATATCGCCGCCGCCGGAGCTGCCTTGGATGTCCACGTTGCCGCCACGCGTCATTTCCTGTTGGAAGTCACCTGCTCCCATCCCATACAGGAGCCGGATATATCTCGGCAGAAAGGCCATCGCCATCCTGGTCGCCGCCGAAAGCCCATGGCAGAGACTCGCCGCCGAAGCTCATTACCCGTTCCCAAGTCTGAGCCGATCCCGCCAAACTCCATCCACTGCAGCTCGGTGCACTGAGTGCGAGCTCCACCGAGCTACTTTTCGTCACGGCTCGAATATCGGAACTTGAACCCCGGTCACCATCTTCAAAATCATTTGACTGGAGCTTGAGCTTTAGGTATTCGCCATTAATGGCTGCAGGGGAGCTCCGTTCTCGAGCCAGTCAGCCAGAAGCCAATCTTCAGGCTGGAGTACGCCGCAACTTCAGGAGCCAGCCGGTCAAGGACGCCCCAAGACGAGCTTGGCCGTCCTGTTGCAGAATCGCCCGCCATCGAGTTTGCAGAGTCTGCTCGTCGAGACCAGGAGCGGCCCGATCCGGACCCCTGAGCGAGATACTCCGAGCTAAAAACGGCCGCCCTAACTTCGACGACGGCTGAAAGGTTCCCTGGCGGCCTGCCTCCGCCTGCAATGGAGTACATCACCCCCAGAAGCTCCAACCGAGCCTCGGTCTGCAGCGAAGCCCCGTCACTCCGTCTGGGGCGCACCAGTAGCAGAGTATCGAAGATCCACCCACGACCAGTGCCTCTTTCTTCCATTTTTCTTCGTCGATATCGGATAGAGCCCTGTGATGGAATCTCCCTTGAACCAACCACACCACTTATCGCAAAAGGGAACTGCCAACCTCCAGATGTGATGGCCAACCGTAGCCACATGATGGATGGCCAGTTTGACCAAGTCAAAATTGAATAGAGGAGTCCACTCTAATTCCACAACACTCTTAACACAGTGGAACCGGGCTCTGAACTCTCCAGCCTGCTGATGGAAATCCAATGCAGCCCCACTGTGTCAGAAGATGCCTCGCCAGCTTCGGTGGTCGAAAGAGGATGGCCAGATTGTCTGGTGTGTGGGTTCCATCTGACTCACTCAACTATTGGGAAGTGATGCCCTAATCAATGGCAGTATCAATAAGACGGTAGCGGGCCAGGGAAGATTGGGCCTAAGTGAGAAACGATGGTCAGAATACCTTGGGACCAAACATGTTATGGATACAATTTCAGCGGCATATTTCAGCCCAATCAGTCCATTATTTCAGCCTACTTCAAAAAGATAAGTACTCTTTAATTTTAATATTATTTATATTTATTTTAATCAATATTTTTTGTCAGTTAAATGTCACACTATCACGCACTTATGATTAAATGACTTGAGACTCATCACTAGGATTTAAAGCCCTGACTCCTCAGGCACAAAGCCCTGTCTCCTCAGGTGCAAAGCCCCGACCAAGTCGGGCATGAAGACAAAACCTCGACCAAGTCGGGTACGAAGACCGGCCTTAGTCATTCCTCGAGTGGCAACCATTGCTTATGAATGGATCACACATCCATTCTACTAAGTATTTTATCATTACATTAACAATTCACATCTCCACTTGTTTCAAGTGACGAACTCCCGATCGGGAACATAAATCCCAAGAAAAAAATTTATATGTATGATAAATGTGTAGGTACGAAGATGACTTTACTCATTTTCACCTCGTCTCCACTTGCCTCAAAGAGTGGGGACTGGGGGACTGAGGGGTCAGAGTTTCTAGATGAGCAGAAAATATCACGCAAGAGCTGAGTCAGTTGAAGACAAGCTGAGCTAGATTGATTATGCCGGAGGGGATTTACCTTCCTTGTTTCATGTTGGGGGCGCTAGGTGTACTCTTTTTCCCTTTATTAGGATTTTTTCCCACTGGGTTTTTCCTAGTAAAGGTTTTTAACAAGGCACCTCCCCATAATGGACAAGGGTGGTGGTCCCCCGGTCGAAGAGGAAGAACGTTGCAGATACAGTTTGGACTACTCCCTTTCGCCTCGAGTACTCTCGACTCGGGGAGTGGGGGACTCCTGATGGATTATATGGACTCCGACCCTCGGTATGCCGACTACTAGGCCTGGACAGCGGCCCACACACGTTTAGCGGATATCATTAATATTATTGTACATTATTATTATTATTATTCAGATGTTCTAGATTAGCTTTTTATACTATCAGTTCATTTATGTAACCGGGTCTGTCAGGTCCATATTAGAGGCCCAAACTTTGATTTTCCCTATATATACTCCTTATAGGAGGCTTGTAACTCATATAACCAATACTCATTCTATACACATTTTCTTCTTCTTCTCCATTACTCCTTTTGATTCTTGTTCAATTTCTCCTGTTCATACAATATGTGTATCGATTATCCAACATAATGTTTTTTTTAAGAAGGAGACTTAGATTAAAATTAAAATATTCAGAAAGGGTCTAAAATAATAAAAGCACAATGAGTAACCATTCGTCCTCGGGCCAGACCCTGAGTTAATCACCTTTGAAAAAGCAATATAATTGAGCATAATTATATTACTCTGAGCATAATTGAGCCAACAATGATTACCGTAGAACTCTCATCACCCGATCCTAATGCAAGAGTCTTACAACACCAGACAAAACAAAAAACAAAGCCAAAAGTCTTAAAACGGAAATTAAAGTGCAAAACAATAATAAAATAAACAACATAATAAGAATTCTTCAGCAGCATCCTCACGCACATGCCAGGCGGATCTAAAAGCTCAAAATCGCATCCTCCCCGTTTTTTGCTTTATCCAGAGTCATCTCCTCTCCTGCTATGCCTTCCTGCGCCGGTTCCTTCCAGACTCTCATGCGCTTCTGATCAATCGATATCTCCACTGCACTGCTCCTACCTTCCTCCCCTGTACCACTATTCTCTATCTCAGTTGTGGTCCCCTTGTGGTCTTGTCTCATAATGCCTTCATCTTCTTGATAAGCCCTTCTCTTTCATATTTTAGTTACCCTGTATTCAAATGTGAAAATGTAAGTAACTTTAAAAACATTTGTTGTAATAGGTTTTTATGCAATATTTAAGAGAATAATATAGGGGAAAAATAGTAAGGATAATGAGTAGTCTATAATGTCCAAGTTTTTTTACACCTTATCATATTGATAAATTGTTGCTTTAGAAATACAGAGTACTTAATTATACTTACTTTTTTATAGTGTCTTTTTATCTATTCCTTCATATGTTTTCGCTCTCTCTCTTTTCTAGACTGCTCGTTATTCTTAAATTTACTATTTTTCCCCTATTCTCCTAAATATTGTGTCAACCCTATAATAATAAATATTTCTAACATTTTCATTTGAATACAGAGATTAACTAAAGTTACTTTGTATTCTTAAATTAATTACTTTGTTGAATTCACTTAGCGTGATAAATTATTAAAGATGTAACTAAATAAATTTCATTTTTCTTAGAAAGGACATTTTCACTCACAGAAAAACAATGAATGGAGTCACATATTATTGTCACAAGTTTGTCTTGACTTACCATAAAATTGTGTATATAAATATTAAAAGTTTTGACTCCCTCAAGCCTTCCGCCAATGCCTAGGTTCTACGATGTGGTGTGATAGCTACACGCACATGGCATCATCCACCCTAGCTCTGGCAAATCCCTGCAACCTCCAGTGAGAATGCCAATTGATATGAATAATGACTAAATTTGCATTAGCATGAAAAAACCACCCTCAATGAATAAATTAAAAGTTTCGAAAACTCCCCTCAAGTCTCTCGTCGATGTCTAGGTTCTACAATGTTGTGCGATAACTACACGCACAGGCCATCATCCACCATCTAGCAAGTCCGTCACCACCAGCATCCTTCGTCGCATTCACCAATGCCATCCTCCGACAAAGCGATCGCTCTCCGGCAAGTCCCTACAATCTCCGGGGAGCATGCCACTTGATATGAATAACGATATTTTTGTAAAAAAAACATAACCTTTTAGATTTTGAAAATATAGAATTTTAAATGAAAAGAAAAGTACTTAGAATTTTCATTTTCATTTTCATATGAGATTATGTAATCGTCATATTACAATTGAAAATCTAAATTATGAGAAGAAAATGGAAAATGAAAAGGCAAAACCAATATTGCTTTTCATACATTTAGTGTCATACCAGTAGTCATAAAAATGACATCTTTTGACAAAGACATAAAAAAAATATGACATTTCAAACACTATAATTTCAAAATAAATAACTATCTTCAAAAATGTATTGACATAAAAGTGACATTTTTAATTTTATTCAAATTTCAAATAATCAATAATTATGACATTTCATATGGAGACTTCAAAAGTGACATTTTCGTAAAAATGAGTAGTATTTAGCGCATTTTGAGATTCAAATTAATCAAAATTGATAAGATGACATTCAAATTCAATACATCTCATCACTTGTCCTTTTTTGAAATCTAGCTCATCATTAAACGAATTCCAATTTTTAATTAGTACGCAGTATATGACAGATAAAAAAACTAGAAACCAGAGAACCAAGACCAAATTAGGAGGAGGAGGGAGGGGGGGGGGGGAGTAAGAAGAGAGGGAGAAGGAGAGGAAGTAGAAGAGAAAGAGGAAGACGAAGAAAAATATTTTTTCTTCTAGTCTTTTTCACTGGAATGTAGTATCACAGGTGGTAAATTTGACGTCATGATTCATGAATGCCTTTTATGATCTACTTTTCTTGAAAAGGGATACTTCACAACGAAAATAATAAAAAAAAGTTATGAATTAAAACTATAGTGAAAATAATAAAGAATTAAGAACTAAAAATTGGAATTCCAAAGGTGCCATTGTGTTCTACTGTTCTTCACTAAGCTTGTAGTTTTCTTTCTAAACGTACGTCAAATTGGAGATTTTTGAAAGAAAAAGTTATACATCCTCTCACCCATTTGATAAGATATCTTTACTATTCACTTGGTTAACACAAATCACTCTTAATCTCTTATTTCATATATCACTATTATAACTTTTTCTAAAAACAATTTGAGTGCAGACATGGATCTGTTTGCTTTATCGTCGGTCAAACATCGTAAACCGAAAAGTATCTTATATGTCGGGACGGACGGAGGGAGTATTAAAATATCAAACGAATCAAGAGTTACAATTGCCAATAGTTTAAAATCCACCATTTATCTTTTAGTAGATTCTATCGAAACTCAACAAACGTCTTACGAGCAGACTCTGAGACGACAACATAGAGTTCTTTCTGAATTTTAGCGTCACGGTACTCTTTATCACTTTCCTAGATTCAGAATAGCCAAAAGGTTTCCTCAATCCCTGATCAAGTATAGAAAAGTTCACTCAGAATTAAGCGAAACTTTTTGTTGAAGATACAAGAACTTCGAAGCAATTAATTGTTGTAGGTATCTAAATACTTCTAATCATAGCTAAACTAAATAACTCACCACTCCCACTAACACAAACAATCCAAAAATAAGGTAAATAGTCTATGGATATCACTAAAACTTGAATTAAAAAAAACCAAAGAAAATCCTAGTCGTCACTCCATGGCGGCAGCCCAGGAGGAGGCTGAATCTTTAACACTTCATCTTCTTCCTTCATGACCAAAAGACCAAAACGTTGTAATCATCGCCGATGATACCATAAGTGAAGCACCGCCATTGTAGGCACCGTTGCGGCTACAAGCCTTGTTCCAAACCAAGGAAAACCGCTATGAAGAACTTCTCAGGATCACTATTGTACTTTAGGTATTGATCAAGAATTCAAAGCTCAGAAACAAACTTCTCCATCCTCATGGTAAGGGAAAAGTTGACCGCATGCTTATGCGGCAGACAAAAACTAAACCCTACACAGGCAAGGAGCTCTACGAGGGAGAACGTCCACTATATAATAATTATGTTAAATTAGAGTTTTTTTCATCATTACATTAGAGGTTGATAATTATAATTATAATTTGATTATAATACGGAGTAATAAACACTCAAATAAAAAATAAATACGATAGCATATCAGATTATATTATAAATGTTTAGATTAATTGAGAATGATTCAAATCAGATCAAATCAGAAACATTAAAATTAGACTAAACTAAAAAAATTAAGACAAAATCAGACAAAATCTTAAAAACTTCACCAAAATTCAATCGGAACTTCGATCGGCCAGACCCAACAAGGCACCAAGAAGGCAAGAAAGTTAATAACATTCGTTAGTGCTTCTTCCTGGACTGGGCAAGGTCACGGAGAACGCCTGCGTCTGCCCGAGTGCCCTGCTGCCCGCCTACTCGCTCAGCTGACCGGATAACTGCGTCGCCCACTCCGTCCACTCGCCTGCGCGGCTGCGCCACTGCCAGTCGGCGCTCTCAGGCTCTCTGGTCTAATAGTCGTATTGCCGTAGGTAAGTTTTTTTTTTTAATTTTAATTTAAGTATTACAATCTTTTAATTTCTAATATATTAATCACATTAATCTATTATAGCTTTGAATGTTATGTTTTACTAAAAATTATTTTGTAAAATGTGAATTTGTTCAATGATTTTTTGAATAGGTGGATTAATTGTTTGATTTCATTTGTGGAGTTGAAAATTAGGGATTATAAATTTGCTAACATATTAACATTAATATGAATTATGCGATCGAAAATAAAATCTTGATGATTTCATGATTTTTTTTTTTCAATTTAAGTAGTTATGAGTCGTATGACTGCACAATCTAGTTCTTAGAAGGCAAAAGCAACATTGCATTTTTCTTTTTAAGCTTGCTACAAGTACAGCAAACTCACAATAGTTTAAAGGCTTGATTGATACTCCAAATATTTCATCCGTTCAAGAGGGATACATTTCTGATGCCATTAAGATTGAGTGGGATCTAGGAAGACGGAAAAAGCGCCCATCTAACGTTTTAGTTTCATATATTGTACGTAGTATGTGTTGCTTCAAAATATTATTATAAATTTACTGCATTTTAATCATTATGCTTGGACTGTTTACTCAGTTACATTTATTTACATATTGTTTGTAATTCATAACCGCCCAGTCATGAACTTTCTTCTTGGCTACGCCCTTGCTCCCTAATCTTCTGTTAACAGTCAGCTCCTTACCTCTCCTGGTATCCTGACTACTGGTAGACGAAGTGGACAAATCCACAATTCATTTCAAAACTCGGCCATGGAACGAGTGAAGGGCAAGGCTCAGGTTCATGACCTTCACGGTCAGGTTTGTATTATTGATTAAATGAAATTTGTAGAACATCACTTAAACAAAATCAACTGTATCGTGATACTGTGAATCCCATTATCTCCACCCATTTCTTTGAGATTATGTGACCGGGTCGGGTCTGGTTATGCTACCCTCCCCATT